TATGTCTGCTTGTTTTTCACGCTCCATAGAACTCAAAAATTCTTTATCTCATATTAAAAAGAAATCCTCACAGACTATGGAGCAATATTTGTTGGAAATTAAACTTTTAGCAGATGGTTTAACTGCCATTAATTCTCCGGTGAGTGACAAGGACTTGGTTGAGTATGCTATTATCGGCCTGGGACGTGGTTATGAGTCCCTCATCACGGCCATAAATTATTTTCCGGGGGATGTTACTTTGGATAAATTGGCGCCCCTTCTACAAGCACAAGAGCGTCGCAATGCTCTTCTGGATGCCCAGGAATCTGGCCCGGTGCATCAAGCCTTTGCAGCGGCTGCACAGCCTGCACAGCAGGCCCAACGTCCGCCTACGGGTCCTCGGGGTGGTCAACGCCCGCCTGTTGGTCGCGGACAGAGAGGGGGACGAGCACGTGGTGGTCGAGGAAGGGGAAGTGGTGACTATTATCAGTATCAGCAGCAACCATATGGGGCTCCACAGTTTCAGTAGCCCTACGGGATGTATCAGCAGCAACCAGCCCCTCCACAGCCACGTGCACCTGCACTTTCTGGGGTTCCAGGTTCGGTATTGTGTAATCTCACTTCTGGTAATACTTATACTGTTTATTCTCCTATTTCTGCTATTCATACTATTAGTGCAGGTTTTCCATCTGTGGATCAATCTTATCAGTCTCCACTCCCTCAGTTGTTTGCCAGTCGTGCTTTTCTCCAGGTCACTCAGCTCTTACGTGTCATCGTTTTACTGCCGCTAATTCTCCTGCTCTTGCTGCTTTGCCTACTGGTGAGACACATGATTCGGTCTAGTACCCTGACTCTGGGGCTTCCGCGCATATGACTCCTCATGAAGGTATTCTCTCTTCAAAAATCCCTTACACTGGTCCGAATCATGTATGTGTTGCCAATGGTACTAAATTGCCTATCTCTCACATTGGTAATTTAAAGCTTGTCACACATGGTCGCCCGCTACATCTTAATTCTGTTTATCATGTCCCTCACATTAAATATAATTTACTATCTATACAAAAATTGTGTGCGGACAATTCCTGTGAAGTAATTTTTAATAAAAATTCTTTTTGTATTAAGGACATTCAAACGGGGGAGCTTCTTCTTCAAGCAACCAATAAAGACCATGTCTACCCTTTTCATGCCCTCCAAGCCCGTGTTATTCCTGGTCCGGTATGGCACAAGCGTCTGGGACATTGTGGTGATAGAATTCTTGGTAGTCTTAGATAGCGAAAATTGATTACTAGTTCTTCTTCTTTTTTACATGATTGTGTTTCTTGTAAGTTGGAAAAATCCCACAGACTCCCATTCACAGATGTTTTTCATAATTCTACTGCACCTTTGCAAATTATACATTCTGATGTTTGGCAATCGCCAATTTATCCAATCTTGGTTTTAAATATTATGTGTCTTTTATTGATGATTTCTCTCGTTATACTTGGATATATCATATGCGCAGAAAATCTGAAGTATTTACTCATTTTTGTAATTTTCAAAAACTTGTTGAAAATCTTTTGGATTTGAAAATTAAAATTTTTCAAAGTGATGGTGGTGGGGAGTTTGATAACTCGGTTTTTATACAACATTTTTTAAATTCTGGAATTTTATTTAGAAAATCATGTCCTGACACTCCTGCTCAGAATGGTGTACCTGAAAGAAAACATAAACATCTACTGGAATTAACTAGGACCTTACTGATCGATTCGTCTGTTCCTGGTCAGTTCTGGGTAGATGCGTTATATACTGCTGTTTTTATTGTAAACCGTCTTCCTACACCAGTTCTCAATGGGCTTACTCCTTTTGAAAAACTTTTTAATAAAATTCCATATTATAATTTTTTAAGAGTTTTTGGATGTTCCTGTTTTCCCAACTTTATCACTGCATCTCATAATAAGCTATCACCACGCTCCATACACTGTGTTTTCCTTGGTTATGCCCCGGGATACAAGGGTTATCGCTGTCTTTCTCCGTCCACGGGTCAGGTTTATATTAGTTAGGATGTTATTTTTCATGAAAACAGTTTTCCTTATCCCATGCTAGCTAATACACCCGCTGCTACATCCACTCACTCACCGACGACCTTACCTTTTTCTTGGAAATTATCTTCCATCAACTCTCAGCCATCTTCCCGGCTGGATCTACAGAATAACCATATCAATTCCTCATACTTGACCCATAATCCTTCCCAGGATATAACCCCGGCACCATCTTCGAATACCACCCCTACTCCATCTGAACCAGCCACACCAACTACTCCATCTACCCCGTCTAGTTCTCCCACGTCTTACCCAAATCTGCCCACACCTTTGGATGCCGACACTTCGGCATCCACGGCGGATCAACAATCTGCCATTTCGTCCCAACCCAGCAGTATACCTTCACCACCCATGAACGTTCATCCCATGCGTACCAGGACAAAAGATGGTATTTTTAAACCAAAAATCATTTTAAATTTAAACACTTTTGCTCCCCCTGATGATCCCACTTGTTTTACACAGGCTAATAAGAGTGTAGTTTGGCAGGCAGTCATGACTGATGAATTTAATGCTTTAATTGCTAATAGTACTTGGGAATTGGTACCATGGGATCATACTAAAAATGTGGTTGGTTGTAAGTGGATTTTTAAGACAAAATATCTTTCTGATGGGTCTATTGAGCGGCATAAAGCTAGATTAGTAGCTCAGGGTTTTAAACAACAGGCTGGTATTGATTTCACTGAAACCTTTAGTCCTGTTGTCAAACCCACCACTGTGCGTCTTGTCTTGTCAGTTGCTGTTTCTTTAGGTTGGTCCGTTAGACAGCTTGATGTGAAAAATGCTTTTTTGCATGGTCATTTAACTGAAGAAGTCTATATGCGTCAACCACAAGGTTTTGTTCACCCTTCCTTTCCTACTCATGTTTGTCGGCTCCGTAAGGCTTTGTATGGTCTTAAACAAGCTCTTAGAGCCTGGTTTCATCGCTTCAGTGGTTTTTTATTGAGTCGTGATTTTTCTCAAAGTAAATCTGATTCTTCTATGTTTATCTATCGTTCGCAGACCACTGTTGTTTACATTTTATTGTATGTGGATGACATTCTAATCACAGGCTCTTCTCCCTCCTTTGTTACTTCAGTAATTCACACTCTGTCTCGACAATTTGCTATGAAGGATTTGGGAGACCTTCATTATTTTTTGGGTATACAGGCTCGCCGGACTGCTACCGGCCTCTTTTTGTCCCAGGAAAAATATGTTTCTGATCTATTACATCGTTTTCATCTCCATACCGTCAAGCCGGTACGTACTCCACTTCCATCACGCACCACTCTCTCCCTCACAGATGGGGAACTTTTATCTGATGTCATTGAGTATCGTAGCATGGTAAGGGCTCTACAGTACTTAGTTATCATCAGACCTGATATTACATATGTTGTTCATCTGGTCTCTCAGTTTATGCATGCACCACATACTACTCATGTATTGGTTGTGAAAAGAATTTACAGGTATCTACAGGGCACCTCAGGTCACGGCCTATGGCTTAAATCCGACAGAAATATTTCTGTCATTATGGCATATTCTGATGACGATTGGGCAGGATGTCCTGACAGCTCACGCTCCACTACTGGCTATGCCGTGTTTCTTGGCTCTAATTTAGTTTCTTGGCGGTCCAAGAAACAACCCACAGTGTCCAAATCATCGACTGAAGCTGAATACAGGGCCATTGCTTATACTGTTCAGGATACACTCTTTGTTCGTGCCCTCTTGGCCGATATGGGCATTTTTATTTCAGCCCCTGTTCAATTGTACTGTGATAATGTTTCTGCATCATATTTGCCGGAACAGAACCGGTGATGGCGGCAGTGGACGGGGGAAGGCCGGCCATAGGTATTTGCGGTTTAGAGAACCCTAGCGACTGATACCATATACGAACAAAAGAATTGTTGGAAATAATACCGTACTCTATTGGGTGCGTTGAGGTTATATTTATACTAAAACATAGAGTTTATGGAAATTACAAAGTAATTCCTATAATTACATTATTATGTAGGAGTTCTGTTTTTTATTCCAATATCTTTAATATATATAAAAAATTATAATAAAAAATTATAAGCAAGAATAGAGGCAATGATGCAATGGGCATTGGGAAAATGTTCGTGTAATCAAGAAGCATTAAGAAGTTGTTGAATATGCAAAATTTTTCGTACTATATGGTTGTTTTCCCTGTATGTTGTTTTACCTAACTATTCGTATGTTGTTACCTCTCTTCTCATATCCAACAAATTAAAAAGAGCACAAGAGAATTAGATCACATCTCTGAGGATGTTTTCTTTTGGACTGTTTTCAGTCCCAAATCAGATCAGATCAGATCAGACTTAAACATACCAGACCAGACCAGACTTAAACAAATCAGACCAGACTTAAACATACCAGACCAGACCAAACTTGGACAGTTATAAAATACACAGAGACCAGACGTTTACCAGACCAGTCTTGTTCAGGCCAGGCCAAACCAGATCAGACTTAAACAGACCAAATCAGAACAGACCAGCAAATTTCAGTCCAAAAGAAATCATCCTCCTGAATCCTCAAAGTAACCCTGTACCCCGTAAGATTGATATTAAACCGTGTACCGTGTAGTGTGGCTCTAACGACCTAATTTATTTAGTTGATTGAAACAAATTCATTTCTAAATGTAATTTCATAAGCTAAGGCCCATAATTTAGACTGGTCTACATACCCCATCAGACGAAAGTTAATTGAAATATAACAATTTATAGAGCAAGGACATTTAAGCACAACACAAACCGATCCATGTACAATTTTTTAAAATAAAATTCATTATGCATGTATCATGTTACATAAATAGGGGATAAACCATCGATCATTCATCAGAACAAATATATTCTAGACATCTATAATTAAAATTTACACAATCTAGAAATTACATTAATAACTCTTCCAAAAAAAATACATTAATAACAATTCGAAAATAGTAAAAAGAATAGATAAACAAAATTAGAGGTCAAACTCATCACAAGAATAATGAAAGGGAGGTAGCATATTCTTATTAGATATTTTTATAAATTATGAATTATAGGTTATAAATATCATATCATTACATTTGCAATTTTGCATACATCAAACTTAATTAATACCAACACCAAATACATACTAATTGAAAACACCCAACTTGATTTATTCCAATTAACTACAAGCTAAGCTACTAACACAAATTAAACATATTTTTCAGCAAATTACTTAATAACCTTAATCCAATGCATCAAACCTTACCTTTTTACTACAACAACACTTGTTGACACCAATCACACCATGCATGTATTTGATCATAAGTAAATATGTCAGTTTGTTGCCATAAACTGTTGCCTTGTCTTCTGCAGGAACATAGTACTCCTCTCGTAAAGGCTATCCGTCTTCGCCGTCGTCTTCGCCATGATACCATTACTGTCTTTACCACCACCACCACCGCCAGCTTCAGCTGCGGCAAGTGGAGCCAAGGCCACCGGCTGCTGCTTTCCTTGATGAGCTGGATTCATTTTATGGTGATCCAAAGCAACGAAATCGTCTTTCTTCTTCTCTTCGGTATGGTTGTCGTAGTCGTCGCAAAACTCCACTGGTATTTCTATGGAGGTTTGGCGGCGAGGATGAGATTTGGATCCTCTCCAAAGCCGCCCACACAGCTTACCTGAGCATTTTGAAGAAGAAGAAGAAGAAGAAATGGAAGAGGAAGAATTTTTGTTGCCCATCTCAAGGTTGAATGAAGATGAGATGAAAGCACAAAAGTAGTGCGTGTATAGCTGTGTTTTAATTACTTGTAGATTTATTGTTATGATGGGTGGTGTTTGGGTGAGATGAAGAGGTTGGAGGGAACTGATTACTATATTTATAGTACGAGGAGATTAAATGATTAATCACTGTTTAACAACGTTTTGGTCGTGTGAAATGAAAAGGATCAGATGACAGACAGACAGACTCCCAGACATATCTATCTACACGTTATTATATTCCTAATTATGAGGGATCAATATAATATGGAGTAACTAATTAAAGAATGTTGACTAATATGAGAGATCCATATTTAGTGAAGTACGGAGCATATGTTTTCTGATTTCATCTCGCTTTTAAATATTGGATCGTAATTTTCGGGTTTTATATGTTATGGTCTGATATTGTCCGATCCATTGGTGTGATTTATATATGTTTTATGTGTATTTTATAACTATCAAAGTATTGTCTGTTTTATCTGTTTTAGTTTGATACTACGTATGATCTATTAAGTTTGGTCTAGTTTGATTTGGTCTGAGACTACGATTAGTCCAATTTAAAACATCTTAAGTAGTTATTCCTCCTTTCTTTAAAACTTTGTCGTGAGAGTGGGCCTAGCTCAACTGGTAGATGGAAGGGGTGTCACAAAGGTTAAGTCTCGGATTCGAATCCTGATGTTTTTACACACTCCTAACAAACAATTCGTGTCTCTAAAACTTATTTAGTTCACGGGCAAACAGTGGCGGGGCCAGAAATGGTAGGTTAGGGGGTCGGGGTTTAAGAAATTTATATTGGAGCGTCAAAGCTTAAAATTTCACAATATTTTTTAATACTTATAAATATTTATACATACATACATACATATATATATACACACACACAATCAGAAATTTTTCTTGGGGAGGCCCGAGGCTCCTGCCAGCCTCCCCTTGGCCCACCCCTTCGGACAAATTAAACCATTTGGCTGTCAACAAGATCAGTCTAAAACGTATGTCAAACTCTTTACAATGGCAACTATCGTATTCGATCACGTGAGTAATTTTACAAACATTAGTTGGTGTGCATACAAACATACTTCCTCTGTCTTTTATTTTATTACTTCGTCAACTTTCTTTTTTAGTTATCCCAAATTTTTCGATACTATCCCTTTTAATCAACAATTTGTGATTCTTGTTATATACTACGTATTTCTCTTTTCTGCACAAACCTCTGAAAGACGGAGAGAGAGGGCATACATGTTTGCGTGCTGATTTATGTAATCTCATGCTGATTCATGAGGGGTCCCAATTTTAATGATCACTACGTATATAACATGCTCGCAAATATGCAGTGCGTACATAGTATTTCTATCTGACCAATTGCTTTCTATTTTTTAAATGCATATATGCTTTGAATTGTTTTGTACGCCGCGTAATTGGATGAACGTGAATAAAAGTTCAAAAAAATAAAATTTCGGGTCTTAAAAATGATTTTTATACTACGTAATAGATTACTGTTAAAACCCGGGGACCCGGGTCTTAACAATTACTATTATTCATTAAATAATTGTTAGAAGTGATAATGTGATATTGAAGGATTCACTATTGAACAAAATTAAATCTAACGGTTGAAACTTGAAAGTAATACGGAGTAGTTCATAAGAAAATACTCCGTATTATAAACTTCGTTTTTAGTAAAAAAAAATGTAATGTCTTGACAAGATTCTCATGTGATCGGTCTCGTGAGAATGTTGCTCCAAAAACTGAAAAACTAAAAACAAACAATCATGCTTGTTGTACTCACTCTTATATCCACCTTATACTCATCATGTTTGTAAAGGTTTTTTTTTTCTATGAACCCGGTTCACAGACAATATTTTGTCTGTGCAAAATATTGTCTGTGAGCCGGAGTTCACAGACAAAAGAAAAAAGCTTCACAAACATAGTTAAGTACAAAAGTGAGTATAAGAAGGGGTAAAAAGATCATTTTTGAAAAACAAATGACTAATTAAAAAGGGAAGATAAAAAGTGGCTAATGATGAAAAGGGAAGGGAATGAGTATAATTGTAATTTAGGATGGGCTTGCCTAGGCTATGCCAGCTATAGGGACCATACTCGCACGGGCCGGCCTTTTGGGATTGGATTCTCTATTTTTATGTGTAGTTGCCATGCTGGCGGGGGTTCGGATTCACTCTCTTTATAATATTCACATTCTCTCCCTCACGCGGTACCAATGGTCCATTTACTCCAATACACCTAATTAAAAAACAATACTAGTACGGAGTAGGTTCAAGACGAGATACTGCAGTGGTCCATTTATTCCCTCCGTCCCAATTTGTTTTGCAAAGTCAACATTTTTTGTCAATCAATAATAAAAGTCAATCCTTTCTGTAGATAATTAATTCAATTTTTAATCATTAAAATTTACATATTCATAAACTATAGTAAAATCTCTTCAAGGTGTAGACAAATCTTCATGTCAGGCCGGCCGGACGAGATGCTCCGTCCGGCCGAGCCCTTTTGGGAACCTTCCCGGTGGAATTTTTTGATGAAATTTTTTGAGCATGTTCCTCATCAAGTCTAGTTTCTTCATACCAAATTTCAGCTCAAAATTCGATCAGGAAGGCCCATTCAAATCATTTTTTGAAGTTGACTGCAGTTTTATATGTATATTTTGACACAGTCAACTTCAAAAAATGATTTGAATGCCTTCCTGATCGAATTTTGAGCTTAAATTTGGTATGAAGAAACTAGACTTGATGAGGAACATGTTCAAAAAAATTCATAAAAAAATTCCATCGGGAAGGTGCCCAAACGGGCTCGGCCGGACGGAGCATCCCATCAGGCCGGCCTGACAAGAAGACCACTCTCAAGGTGTAAACACCAAATTCGAATATAATTAAAATTGACATCCTAATGAAGCAAACAAAATGAAACTGTTTGACCAAGAAAAGTCAAATTTGCAAATTAATTTGGGACGGAGGTGTTGGCTCTATCTTTCCAAAATAAACGTGTTGACCGTGTTGCTACTAAGTTGACCTCGTTGACCATCTAGCTCCGAATTGATGTGTAAGATAATCACTAAAAAGAACTAAAAGTATATTAGTGGCTTCAGACGCTTCAGACGCTGTCCTAAGGCATTATTTCCGGCGCACAGAAATTTCCCCCAAGATATAACGAGCCCTTCGGTTATAAAACCAGTACCAGAACTAACGAGAAAAAAACAATATATGAACCCAGTAATAAAAGTGTATTGTTCATTTGCCGTATACTTGTATACACTCATCACGGTATATACGTTATCGAGGACTTTTCATGTCCAGCCGGCCTGACGGGAACCGCTGTCCGGCCGAGGGAATTTCGGGCACTTCCCGGTGGAATTTTTTGATGAATGTTTTTGAGCATGTTCTTCATGAAATCTAGTTTATCCATACCAAATTTCAGCTAAATATTCAATCGGGAAGACACTCAAATAATTTCTTGAAGCTAACTGGATAGTTTATATGTATGAACTGCCCAGTTAACTTCACGAAATTATTTGAATGCCTTCCCGATTGAATTTTTAGCTGCAATTTGGTATGAATAAACTAGACTTCATGAAGAACATGCTCAAAAATTTTCATCAAAAAAATTCATCAAAACATTTCACCGGGAAGTGCCCGAAATGCCCTCGACCGGCCTGACATGAAGACTACTCATACTTTATCATCTAAAGAAGTAAAACATATACACACTAACACACGTATTAATCTATGAAGAGTAATGTATTCATTTTCTCAAGATTTGAGTATGACTATTCCCATTTTTAAAATCCCACTTCCGTTGTGCAGTAGGCATGGAGCATATATACTCCTTACTCCTCAAAGTAACATTCAAATATTAAATAATATATTAATTAAATATAATTAGAAATATTAAATGATTCCCCATGTAGCCAAGCTAATTGCAAACGTACGTTTAGGGAAACTATATACTCATGAAAATGCTATTTTACTAAAGATTAATGATAGTAAATGTTACCTCAACATTATTAAAGAAGATAAAACCAAAACACATTTAGGGTTGGTTTGCAACTCCTATTTAAAAAGCACTTCTCAGCTTTTGGTTTTTAAAAAGCACTTATTTTTCCAAACACTACAACTTTTATTTTTCTCGGTTTCCGCGTCAAATGTGCTTTTACTTTTTCTATTACACAAAAAACATTTATTTTACCAAACACTACCCACTTTTACTTTTCAAAATCACTTTTTTTCTCAAACACTATCAACTTTTATTTAATCATTTCTCTCCATTTCATTAAAAAAAGCACTTTTTTAAAAGCAGAAGCTGTTGCAAACAGACCCTTAATACTCCCAATGTAGTTTAACAATAATATTTTATTCATTTGAAATACTTTCAATTTTCCAACAATCCCCACATATTTCAAATAAATAATTTTAAGCATTTAAAAATATTAATTCCTTGCTGAGTTTCATATATGGGGTGAGGTTTTTCAATCTGGTGTCCGTAAACTTGAACCAGACCTAGACGCCTAAATTTTTAAATACCGAGTTTATTGGTGAAACGTATAATTTCTATGAACCAATAATCTACTTTGGTAAGTCAGTGTCTTAGGGGATTATTTTTCACACACACCTTTCTCGTCGTTAACGCCGTTGTGCGCCTCTAGGCCATGCACGTGCTTGATTTTCTTGAGTGCTCTAGAAGCATTGTCAATCTCTCATGGAAGCAGCCCCACCTCTCACTCATATAGGTGACCTCACCAAGTGTGTCCCGCACTTAACACACCACTCGTGAGAGTTATGACAATCATTAAGAACTTTAGCTCAACCTCACAAAGAAATGCAGTCTAGCCTTCCACATCATAGAAATGGACATTTTACAAGGCTAGCAGAACAAATAGAAGACTTGTTATTACCCATTTGAACTTGGTTCATGGGATCTCCAATCATACAAGTTGGGTTCTCATCCCTATTTGTTGTCAAAGTGACATTAGTCCATTTCCCTCGATGTTTAAATTTATCATTAACGTCCCAGGGATTCCATCAAAAGGAGTAGCTAATTCCTTTTAACTTCACAAAATTAATGGAATAATTCCATTCTCAAACATCATTGCACCACTTTTAAGGGTGAATGGATATCCACTATTTTATCTCACGTGAGTCGACTCAGATCGCGTCGTTATATCCCGGAAGTTCACTAATATGTTATATCCTAACAGATAGTTCTCAATATAATACATAACATCATTGTAGCATTATAGTACAATGGATAATTCTCATATAAAACATCGTTGTATCGCTCTAGTACAACGGATATTTCTCTACAAATCATATCATCGTTGTATCAATATATCACAACGGATAATCCCAACCAAATACATCATAATTAATTATACCTCACAAGTATCTCAATAAACTTTTTTTCTATTGAAGGCATAAGGGATATACACATTATTAACACTAAAATGTCAAACTTCTTAAGAAGTTTCTCAAAATGATGACGGTAAAATACCAAAATCCTTTCTTATGGCTTTAATACTCAATAATTACTTTTATTATATTCATATATCAACTCAATATAGCTACTGAAATAAGCATGTGAAAATTCCAACAACATATAAACAAATAATCACATGCATCATTAATTTAGTGTGTACACATTCTGAGAGGGATAATTTCAGTTTTATTAAGATAATTTATATCCCAACCTTTATTTGTACATAAAGATGTTATCAAAATCTCGCCTTCAAATTTGAAGAAAATAAAATTTATTGAAACTCAAAAAATCACCAATGAGTGGGATAAAAACCCCTATCACCACATCTAATCACCATATAATTAATAGCAATAAATCTTATATAGATTCATCATGTATTCACAATTTTTAAAATTCACCACTATAAAATTTCTAAAAGCACACCGCAAATATGCACAATAAATATATCATATGATTGCATTCAATATGCAAAGGTAATAAAACTTGTTCAGATACGTAAGACCCTATTGATCCCTATTTCTAACAACCAAACAATCATAAGAATGAAAGAAGAAGCAGATAGATTTCTCATTCATATCAAAGTATCGAGAACTTTGGTACACCGTGTAAACCGGCCGCTGCTCTCCCTCTAGAGAGAGAGAGAGCAGCGTAAAAGCTAATCTATTCTATTCTGCCTCTATACTCTATGCCTTAGGTTTTCTCTTAAGTTAGCCTCCTTTTATAGGTAAGGAAGTCTAACTTAAGGCTTACAAGAGAGGCTAATGGGCTAATATTCAATTGTGGCCCATATTACACATTTAACTAACAACTACACAAATACAAAGACATCTAACTAGATTGGACTTCAGAAAAAGTCCTAACAATCTCCCCCTTGGTGTTCAATCTTGTTTGATCAGCATTGCAGCGCGGATGTCTTTGTCTTTGTGTTCAGTTGCTCCTCAATGCAGCTCAGCTTCCTTTGTCTTTGCACTCGGCTTCTTGAAAAGGCTTTTTGAAGAAATCCTTGCAACCTCCCCTTTGATGTCTTCATGGCAATTTGTTCTTTGATGCCGGGGAGTTGAAGAATCTTCAGGATGTAGCTTGTGATCTTTACCTTTCAGAAGTTGCTCTTGATCCGCATTAATGAATTCCGTTGGCGCCTCTGGAACGAGTGTTCAGGTGATATACAGGCACGCACAGGATTCATCTTCAGAACTTGAATACTTGAACTTTGTCTCCTCAAAGTTTACGTGGCACAGCGGAAAATTATTGTTTTTTAGGAGATCTCGTCAGTGGCACAGCGGAATAAGATAGTTGACTTGTGAGCGTAGCTGACCATTTGATTTGAAGCTGGCTTTGCACTTGAGTTGAGAAACAAGAGTGTCATCGTTGTTGTTGTTGTTGTTTTGTGCTGGAGGAGAGAAGTATCCAAAAATGATTTGTTGATAGTGACAGCATGTGGACTACTCGCCCCCTCATGACGATCCGATGAATCGGGGCGTCATGCCTTTATTCTTTTATTCTGGGAAACAAAATTGAAAACAAACAGAAAGGTTAAATAATAAAGACCGGGTACTCAAAAGTGTTCCGTTAACACAACATCAATGTAAACACTGATGTGTGGCCTGTATAAGAGGATATAAGCATTACAACTCTAACAGGACTTCCAACCAATCATTGTGAAGCATCTGAAGCAGATGTCACTCTGGTTGTTAAGGCGTGATCATAAAGATCAGCAATGCAAATCGTAGCCCCCCGAGGTCGCGTAGACACCCGTTATCATCACTATAGAGATAAACTCTAAAGTGATGGTCTGAACATGTTGGTGATTTCTATGTTGCAACAGAAGGACTTCCTTCCAATCATCGGTCTATCTATATTAGATGAGCCCTATGGAAGTTCTCACATGGTCACTTGAACCTGCAACTGACTCAAAAGTGTGTTTGTGTCCTAGAAAATTCAAAACATTTGGGAGTGAGATAACTAGACACAACGTGATCAATGAAAGTTCAGTGGCATGGGGCTGAGGCCACTGTAGTCAGTATCACTTGCCTCGGAGGGAGACAATGATGAGAGATGAGGTTCCCCGTGAAATATGATTAAACACTTGTCTGTTGGGAGACAAATGAGTGGTCTTGGGTAGGGGTGAGCATGGAACAGTACGGGACGGTTATTTCAAAAAACCTGTCCCGTCCCAAAGTACGGTTCTTTTAAAAATCAAGAACCGGTACCGTCCTGCATATATATGGAACCTGTCTCGTTCCGTACCAATTTTCAGCACGGTGCGGTACGGTTCGGTACGGTTCTTTGGTGTTATTTGGTTCGTACATAATTAACCACCATGAAATATAATTAACCCTATTTACATAACATTGTTTATATCATTTAGTATTGTTTTTATTTTAAAGCTAACTTTTGGTGCTGTCAAGTCTTAATAATTGGTGATAGAGTATATGGGCCCGGCCCCCATGGCCCACATACTCAAGTCAACGACAACCAGAACACCCACGCGGCCCCCTTCGGCCAGTGGGACCGCATCGGCCAGAAACCAAACCGGCCCAAGAACCACGCATGGACTTCCGGGAACGCATCGGCCCATGGACCGCATCGGCCAAAAGGCACCGCGTCGGCCCGGCTTCGTACGGGCAGAATGCATCTCTCTACTTTATTTACTAAGTATTGTACACAGCCCATTAGTGGCCCTATTTCGCCCAAAGGAGGCATGATTATTGTGATGGGCCTCCTAAGCCCATGGCTAGGAGCCCAAATCCACATTTTTACCTATAAATAGACCCCTTGGGGCTAGTTATAGGGGGTTGAGAAATATAATTACTCACTTTCTCTCTCTAGCTCTCACTTCTCTCTAGAATTAATACTCTATCATTTGGTGCTTTCATTGAGAGTCAGAACAGATCAAGTGAGTACCCCTCGTCGCTACTAGACGCAACAGAATGACAAGAACCAGGTCAAAGAACACCGGAAGGAATGCCCCTCTGAACCAGGAAGGGCAGGGAAACGTTGCTGACAACGTCCCCAATGACCTCATCATTCAGGATGAGAACGCTCAGGAGGTCGAGCTCGCAGCGGCCGACCTTCGCACCCAGCTCAACAAGACTGCCTCAGACGCCCGCATCGGGCTCGAGGACAAGCGCAATGCTGATCGCGCTTCGGGCTAGCAGGCTTCTCACCCTGCTGCCCCCCAGATCAACCCGGCCGCACTATCGGCCATCGTCGCAAGTATTCTCCAGGACCCCAACGTCGTCAGCGCCCTCGTCGCAAAGACAGGGGAGAACAACACTCCCGTGACTGGGGAAGTCGCGACGGTGCCACCACCCCCGCCTCGGCCACAAGGCGTCACCTTCTTCGGCAACGACGAAGGCATCCTCGCCGTGGACACCCATTCCCATACTGCCTCTCCTACCCGGGATACACCGGCCCAACCTCGCGGTAAAATCTCGGCCTTCAACAGGCTGGGTGACATCGCGAGCCGTCGGGTACCTACGGGGAGGGTGGCGGATCGATTGGGTAACCACGAGCCAGGGTCGCCAAAGGAAAGCTTCGGGTCCGTTTCCCGGACAACGGATCGGCCCCGACAGGACAAAGGAAAGGGAAAACTGAATGATGATGATGCGCGTCATCAGATCAACCTGGCCCACGCAGCCCGGATCCAGACACCGCTGGGTGGCGCTGCGGCCAACACGGACCCAAGGGACGAGATCATCGCCCGCCTGGAAAAGCGCCTCGCGGATATGGAGGCCCGAGAGGCCGCAGGGCGCGCAGCGGCTCATACATCCCAGCATCCCAACTACGATGCACTCCTGCACAAAGTCAGTGCCTTGGAAAGGGAGCTGGCCGACCGGCGCGACGAGCCCGTCATCCAAATACGGACCTGGACCCCCTTCTCCGCAAGGGTGCTCTCCGCTCCCATCCCAGAGAAGTACAAGGGGAATCCGATCAAGCCGTATGACGGCCGCACTGATCCTCAGGAGCACTTCACCCGCTATCAGAACAATATGATGATGACAAACGCTACGGAAGAATACATGTGTCGCTGGTTCCTATCCACCTTGGAAGGACCAGCGTACGATTGGTTCAATAACCTTCCGGAGGGGAGCATCGACTCATGGCAGGACCTTGCTCAACGCTTCCTCACCCACTTTGCTGGGAGGAAACGTGCGAAGAAGCATTTCGCTCATCTCCTGACCATCAAACAACAATCAGAGGAGACGCTCCGAGCCTTCCTCGATCGCTGGACGAGGGAGGCAGACGAATGTGAGGGAGCCGATGAACGCACCCTCCTGGCCTTCCTCCGCGGAGCACTACGGCCAAGCCACTTCGCCCGAAGCCTGTTCACAGAGCCCCCGCGGTCATACCTCCCGGCGCTCCGACGCGGGGACAGGCACGCCGATGCCGACGAGCTCCTGAACCAGAAGAAGGGTGGGGAGAAGCAACAGAAGAAGGACTCCTCGTCCAACCCCCACCACCCGCCGGCCAACAAGGGACAGCACCAGCCAAAGAAGGCACACCAGGAGCAAGGCGGACAGCGAAGAGATGACCGTTCATGGCGTCCAAAGTTGGAGGCACAACGCATCCCCCTCACCCACCCGGTGAGCATCGTCCTCGACCACGCCGAGGCGCAGGGCCTCATTGTGAAGGACCCCAGGTCAGAGGAGGAGATATTTGCGGTCCACAAGGGAGGGACGTACTGCAAGTACCACCGCCAGACATCCCACAAGACCGAGGATTGCACCACCTTGAAAAGGCACATCGACGGCCTCATCCGACAGGGGGAACTTTCCCAATTTGTCAAGGGTGCCCCCAAGAGTAACACTTGGGTTAACCCTGGCAAAAGGGGGGAAGGATCCTCCGGGAAAAAGAGGGAGATCGGCGCCCTCAGTGAAGATGAGGACGAAGAAGAGCCCCGCCAGAAGAAACATCACATTCACATCATCGTCGGCGGGAACACAGGGGGGGACTCGGCTACCCAACGAAAAAAATGGGCTCAGTCCCTATACGTTGGTGAGGTGTCCCACGCCCCCCCTCAGCCGAAGCGACGGCACTTGGAGGCCATCACCTTCACCGACAAGGACCTCCCCTTCGGCCCCTTGCCTCACAGGGACGCCCTCGTCGTCAAATGCGAGATCGGCAACAACATCATCCACCGCAACTACATCGACACTGGCAGCTCTGTCAATGTGATGTACGTTGACACCTTCAGACAGCTGAAACTGAAGAAGACCGAGCTCCGGCCGATACGGACTCCGTTATCCGGCTTCACCGGGGACTCTATCGACGCCGAGGGCACGATAGTGCTTCCCGTTGAGGTCGGTGACGGTACCTATAAGGCGAAGATTGATATGGAGTTCGTGGTTGTCAATCTGGACAGCGCCCACAACATGATCTGGGGACGACCGGCCTTGGAGGACCTTGAGGCCATCATCTCCATGAAACATCTATGCCTCAAGTTCCCCACCAAGGACAACGTCGGCTACGCCAGAGGGAACCAGAAGATAGCCAGGGCTTGCTACCTGAAGCTCACAAGGAAGATCAATGAGGCCGAGGAGCGGATAGACACCATCACCACCGCCTCGGCCGAAGAAGACACACCAAAGGCAGAACCGGTCGGAGACGTGGAAGATGTTCCGTTGGACGTCTCCCGGCCGGAACGCACGCTGAAGATTGGGACCCAGCTCCCCCAAGATACCCGAAGGGCCATACTCTCCGTCCTGAGAGCGTACGCCGTCGTCTTCGCATGGGGACCAGAGGACATGCCGGGCATCAGCCCAAAGGTAATCACACATCGGCTATCGGTGAACCCGGCCTCCTCCCCCATCAAACAGAAAAAACGCTACCTCTCAGCTGACAGGAGGGAATTCGTCAAAGCCGAAGTGGCCATGCTGCTCTCCATCAGGCACATAAAAGAGGTGAAGTACCCCACGTGGTTGGCGAACGTCGTCCTCGCACCAGAGCCGCCCACGTTCAGAATGTGTGTTGATTACACTGACCTGAACAAGGCGTGCCCAATGGACCCATTCCCTCTCCCCAACATTGATCAGTTGGTGGATGAGACAGCAGGGTGCGAGTTAATGTCGTTCCTCGACGCGTTCAGAGGGTACCACCAGATATCCATGCATGAAGATGACGCGGAGAAGACTGCTTTCATGACACCGGAGGGAATTTTTTGCTACCTCGTCATGGCCTTTGGGCTCAAAAACTCCGGCGCCACCTACACAAGGATGGTAGCCCGGATTTTTAGAGCAGTCTTAGGTCGGACGATGGAAGCATACGTCGACGATATGATCGTCAAGAGCAAACAATCCACAACTCATGCCGACGACCTCCGGGGCATCTTCGAGATCATGAAGAGATACAACCTCCAGCTCAACCCAAAGAAGTGCACCTTCGGCGTCCAGGGAGGTAAATTCCTGGGGTACCTGGTCAGCCGAAGGGGCATTGAAGTAAACCCGGAGAAGATACAAGCCATTATCAACATGGAGCCGCCCCGCAACATCAAAGAAGTGCAACGGCTGACGGGACGCCTTGCGGCCCTGAACCGTTTCCTTTCAAAGTCCGCGGAAAAATCGCTCCCCTTCTTTCAGATAATGAGGAAGGCCACCAGCTTCAAATGGACGACGGAGTGCCAACAAGCCTTTGAAGAGCTGAAGCAATATCTCGCCTCCCCACCCGTCCTATCCAAGCCCCAACCCGGCGAGACTCTCTTCCTTTACTTAGGAGTGAGCACGTCGGCCGTCAGCTCCGTCCTCATCAGGGAAGATGACGGGGTACAAAAAGCTATATTCTACGTCAGCAAGACGTTGCGGGAGGCCGAGCTTAGGTACTCCCCCATTGAGAAGACGGTGCTGGCCATCGTCCACAAGGTGAAAAAACTGGGTCACTATTTCCAGGCCCACCCCGTCCACGTCCTCACGCATCAGCCGTTGGGCGCCCTCATGAGGAGCCCAACCAGCTCTCCAAGGATGATCAAATGGGCGATATTCCTGAGCCAGTACCAGATTGAGATCAAGCCGAGGCCATCCATCAAAGGGCAAGCCTTAGCTGACTTCGTCACCAAGTGCACGGCAAGGGAGACGGCCGTTACCACCACAGGAGCTGAACCGGACGAAGCCTGGACCCTCTACACGGACGGGTCCTCGGCCACCAAAGCTTGTGGGGGTGGCGTCGTCCTCATCTCCCCGGAAGGTTTCAGAGCATACTATGCCATCCGCTTCAACTTCAAGGTGTCCAACAATGAGGCTGAGTATGAAGCGCTCCTCAGTGGGCTCAGACTGGCCGCTGGCCTCAAAGCGCGCCACATCAGAATCAAATGCGACTCTAAACTAGTAGTGAACCAGATGGAGGGTTCCTACGAAGCCAAAGAAGGGAGGATGAAGCAATACAAGGAGGCCGCTGCGGAATTGCTTAAGGCATTCGACACCTACGAGATCACTCAGATCCCGAGGGCGGAGAACGACGAGGCCGACATACTCTCCAAACTCAGCTCCGACACTCCTGAGCACATCTCCAAGATAGCGAAGGTGGAGAAGTTGAGCATGTCAAGCATTCACGCCAGTCCCATACTCGCCATACAACATCAGCCGGAGGATTGGATCACTGACATCGCAACCTACATCACCTCCGGCACACTACCAGAAGACGAGGAGAGGGCCAAACTAGCCAAGCTCAGGGCTCCTAGCTATGTCATTGAGGGTGACAAGCTCTACAAGAGATCATACAATGGCACCCTCCTCCGGTGCCTACACCAGAATGAGGCCGAAGTGGCCATGGAAGAAGTCCACTACGGTGTATGCTCATCACACCAGGGACCCTTCAGCATGTCGCGCCGCCTCGTCGTCCAAGGCTACTTCTGGCCGACGATGGCGCGTGATTGTGCTGAGGTCGCCCGCAAATGCAGCGCATGTCAACACTATCAAAGGGCACCTGGCCGACCCGCCGTCAACTACGCCCCGGTCAGCACCGCCATTCCATTTTCCAGATGGGGCATTGACCTCGTCGGCCCACTACCAAGAGCCGCGGGCAACAACAGATACATCATCGTCGCCATTGATTACTTCACCAAATGGGTCGAGGCCGAACCACTCGCAAGCATCACCGGAGCGCGGTGTCGAAAGTTCGTCTACAAGAACATCCTCACCCGCTTCGGCGTGCCTCAGGAGATCATATCAGACAACGGCACCCAGTTTGAGGCCGAACCGTTCCAAAACCTCCTCCAAGAATGGGGTATCAAGCACCGTTTCTCCTCCGTCGCCTACCCTCAGGCTAACGGGCAAGTTGAGAACGCCAACAGAACCATCTTGGAGGGGCTAAAGAAGAAGCTCGAAGAAGAAGGCGGAAGTTGGGTCGACGAGCTCCCCAACGTCCTATGGTCCTACCGCACTACGCCGAGGAGGGCCACCGGGGAGACACCATTCTCCTTGTGCTACGGCTTCGAAGCCAAGGCTCCCACTGAGGTGACGCTTCCCAGCCGACGGGTCACACAATACGATCCCGAGGCCAATGAAGAAACAATGAAGGTGGACCTACACCTCATCGACGAGAGACGAGAAATGGCCTACCTCAGAGCGGAGAACTACAGACGACAAGTCAAATCCTACTACGACGCCAAGGTCCGCTCTCGCGAATTCCAGGTGGGGGACTACGTCCTCCGCCGAAGGGAAGCAAGCAAGCCGACGGAAGGAGGAAAGCTCGCCGTCAAATATGAAGGGCCCTACATCATCAGCGCCGTCGTCAAAGCCGGCACTTATAGACTAAAGAACCCCAATGGGTCAGATGTACCACGATTGTGGAATGTACACCACCTGGTGAAATTTTACCAATGACTCGAGAAGTGGTGAAGCGGGCAAAGTCCCCCACCCCTCGGCTTATTGGTTGAATAAAACACCCTCGGCCTAGCGCCACTTATTGAATAAAATTCATGTTTCATCCAATCTTTTAAGATTTGAGCTAAGGGAAACCTAAGGACCGCATCGGCCTAAGCGGTGCAAAACACCCGGGACCGATGCGACCTAAAGCCGTTGCAATAAACAACGCACCTAAAGCCGTCGCAATAAACGACGCACCTAAAGCCGTCGCAATAAACGACGCACCCAAAGCCGTTGCAATAAACAACGCACCTAAAGCCGTCACAATAAACGACGCACCTAAGGCCGTTGCGATCCACAACGCGCCTACAAAGCCGTTGCATAGACAACGCACCTAAATATCGTATCGGCACAAGCGGTGAAACACCCAAATCGGCCGGCGATATGCAGGACGAAGGACCTGTGTGCATGGTCCAACGTCTTCAAACGGAGAAGCATACCGCGTCGTCCGCGCGGAAACCGCAGGACGACAGGCCTGAATTAAGGCTGAGGTTACAAAAACTCCACCCGTCAGTAAAATTTCGCTCAGGACCACAAAGGGCGGCCGTCAAAAGACGATGCCTAGCCCGGTCCCTCGTCGACGATAGACGTGGAAAGGCCAAAAAAGGATGCCACTGACACACCAAGCCGAGGGCGTATTTACTCCCTCGCACTGATTCACGCAAAAAGCGTAGCGGACAAACTACCGCACATGGACGAAGGGACAGTAACCCTTCGGCCACCCACAAAAAAAAAAAAAAAAAAAAAAAAAAAAGAAGAGGGGAAACCGACGGACCGCGCAAACGCCGGCCTCGAGCAAAAAATAAAATCCCCAAAAGCCAAGCCTCAAAATCGGCTAAGTACATATCAGGTCTTCACCATACAGGAATCTGAGACACACGCTTCGGCCTCAACCACAGCTTCATAATAGGAAATCGCCTTGGTTTCGATTATACGAGACCACATTTCACGGTTCGGACGACGGGTCGCGTCGTCTCCATGAAGCTACATTCCACAGCTTCAAGGCGAGTCTCACTAAGGTAACGTTGCACTACCACTGGGTATCGCTTCGTCCTCAACACTTCAAGACTAAGCCCCAAAACTTGAGACGTGGACAAGATTTGCCAAGGAAAAAATAAAAATTCACTAAGGGATGAGGAGACGCATCGTCCCCAAGGACAGTAAAGGCGAGAAAATCGCTACGCCTCAATCAAGGGACGCCAACGACCTCGAGACACAGCCTTGACACTTAGAAAATTTTACAAGAGCAAACATACTTAACTACAAAGACGACGAGGGAATCATGGTGACAAAAAGATTTATCATTAATGGATGAAAAGATACAAGAGGTGGGCGCTTCGGCCATTACATGCACTTCAGTGCTATGGCTACAAAAACTAATACAAGAAAATACTAAGCTACAACATTAGCTGGCACTCCACCATCAACAGCACCGTCGCCGTGGCCGTCATCGGCATCATCATCACCACCACCCTCATCGGCTTGGGAGTCGGCAGGCCCTTCGAGCAAATAGTCGTCACTATCACTCCACGGCTCTTCCCCTTCAGACGAGCTTAGGATCGGGGGCTGCCTCTCCAACAGGGGGAGCTTCAAATCCTCGTCAGGATTCTTCATTCGCCGAGGGAGACTCAGACCTCTCGGCCTCATCTTCCGGAAGCGACGACGAAGCTTCCTGTAGATCAGCTTCTGCATCCTGTACTGACCACAGTCGTAGAAAGCTTGCATCTCGTTCATCCAGAATTCTTGGCCGGCGGGGTCCTTCGTCGTCCAATCATTCAACCTCTCAGCAACCACCTCATAGCAGAAGGGGAGCTGGTCCTCGGCTTTCCACCCCTCGGCCTTGAAGTCGGCTACGGCCTTCTCAGCAGCCCCCTCCGCCTCGGCTTTGAGCCGCTCCGCCTCCTCGGCTCTTTGGACGGCAACGGCAACGGCCTCATCAGCTTTTCTCCGGGCTGACTCGGCCTCATCAAGACGCAGCTGAAGGAGCTTCATTTCACCCTCCGCGGCCTTGGCCTTGTTCCTCAGATCTTGGAGAGCCTCATCGGCCGAGACAGCCTTTGCCTCCATCTTCTTTAGCCGCTCTATTTCGGCTTCCTGTCTCCAGTGCTGCTCCCGCAGCATTAGGGCACCCTGGACGAAGCGGAATTTGAAATCAGAAGAGAAACAAAAGCAAAGAAAAAAATCACTAAGGAAAATATCTTACCTGGACGACATAGTCCATCCCTCCGTCGTACAGCCGAACATGCTGGCCTTGTCGGCCGAGATACTGGCGATCATACTCAGGCATAGCCTGAGCAAGCATGTCATCACCACCGACGGTCTCGTTGAAAAGACCACCTTTGACAGGGTATCGTACGGAGACCTCATACGACCCCTTAGCAAGAGCCTCCTCCAGACGGGCAGCAGCGGCCGTGGAGGGAAGCACACGAGAAGCCGAGGCCACCATGGCCGAGGAGGGCAGATCATTCACAGGAGGGAGCACCGGCGGCTGAACATCCGCAACAGCCTGAGAAGAAGGAGCGCCGGCCTCATCAGTCATTGTAGCCCTCTTCGTCTTCTTCGAAGCCTGGCTCAGTTTTAGCCCCGCTTCGGCCAGAGTCTTTTGGCCCTCATCAGCAGCCCTCCTGCTCTTCTTAGCCACAGGCTTCTTAGCGGCCTCAACACCCCCTTGAGAACCGCCCGCAGACTTCTTTGCTGCCTCGGCAGCTTGAGCAGCTTTCAACTCCGCATCGGCCTTCCTGGCAGCCCGAGCCATAAATGACATGCGATCCATATCGAAGCCTACACAAAAATACACAAGGGTTAGCAAAGGAAAACGAAACATCATGAAAAGATAAAGAAAGGAGGTCAACCTTCGGCCTCAGCCGGCACGCCTAGACGGGGCCCATCGGCTTGCTCATAAGACCCCATCATCTTCGGCCAAAGATCATCATCGACATCACCAGGACAATAGTATCTCACAAAGCCGAGAGCAGCCATCCGGTACTCAGTAACGTACGTCTTGATGCTCCTCGGCCCCCCCTTAATAAAGGCCTCTACTTGATTACTTATTTCGGCACTCCAAGGGGGGGTATGCAATTCAAAGAGGCCGCTGTGACCATTGGAAGGAAAGAAGCCACCCTGACCCAAGGTGACGAACACGAACTTGGCCTTCCAGCCATGAATGGACGTAGGGAGATCCGTAAACGACCTCCTCCCACTAATCTGCTGCAGGGTTGCGTAGCCGGCACAATTTTGATGGCTCCCTCGGCCTATCCGGAACAAGTTCATAAACAGGGCAGTCGTCGGCGGAATCTCCAACTCTTTACACCGGATCAAGAAGCCGATGATGAGCGAAAAGCTGTTAGGAGTCAATAAGGCCGGAGGGAGCTCCACCATCTCAAGATACTCCTTGATGAAGGGATGAAGAGGGAATCTCAGACCCTTGGCAAAACTCATCGGGTAGACACCAAAATAGCCCAAAGGCGGGTTCAGAACATGATCCGACGGCAAGGGGGCTCTGACACGGCCGTAGGGACCGACGTACAGCTGCGCAACGTGATAATCGCCGAGGGTCCCCTCCGGCCGAATGATGTACAAATTGCTGAGATCTAACTGTGAAAACCCCTGCGGTACTCCCTTACGCTGCTTCCGCCGTTACGGTTTCTTCGTCTTGGGAGCTGAAGGGCTTTCCCCAGCTACAGAAGATAGCGGAGGGGGGCAAGGAATAGCGGCCGACGAAGAGGTCCCATCCCCCCTCAGAGGCGAACTGGACGTCGCTTCGTCCTCACCAGAGTTTTGAGCACCACCGTCCTCGCTCAAACGTTCCTCGTCCACCGAGGTGCGATAATCAGCCGTGTTTTCCATCTCAACGGCCAGCTCGTCCACTAGGTTCAAGTCGATTCGAGGCGATTCGTCCTCCTCGTCAAAGGGCCAGTCCTCTTCGTCCAACGAGGCTGCTAAACCAACGGGGGAGGGAACGTTACGGTCGTCAGGAAACGGCATAACATCTAAAAGCTTATCCCTAAGGGTGGTTTTTCGGATCAAAGTGGTTTCCCTACAAACACTAGATCTAACCCCCTAGGAAGCAAAGTATAAGGAAAAAATGAAGAACAAAGAAGAATCTAACCTTTGAAGATTTGAAGATCTGGAAAAGAGTGATGGAGACTTGAAGGAACACTCCGAAGGTTTCTCTCTCTAGAAAGTTTGACAGCACTTCGTTGTTCAGCAAGGTTGCAAATGAGGTATCGCCTCGGGGGTTAGGGGTATTTATAGGCACCCCTCCAACGGTCACTACACGTGGCAATCTCCAATTGGCCACCTCAACGGCGCCTCCCCTAAAACCAATCAGCACCTGTCTTTTCACATTCCACTCAAAGACCACCACTACGGCCCAACAGGCCCCAAATCTGGGGTAGGCACCGGCCTACTCACTCAAAACCAAGGAGAATCTCGCTACGACCAAATTTTACCAAAGACATGGCCGCATCAGCAAAACACGCTACGGCCCCAAAGCAACCCCAAGAAACACAAGTACCGCTACGGCTATTCACGCGCACATCGTCCGATGATGACCCTGGTATCGCGGCCTTCGTCCAAGGGTTCTCCCACAGGGTTACCTTGGACAGGTTCGCCTAAGGGTTGGACTCACGACTAACGCGTAGGGTACCGTATCGGCCCGAGAACATCATGACTCCCTTGTGCCTCAAATACTCTTCGGCCAAAGGAGTGGGGGACTGGGGGACTATATCGGCCACAAGAAAGAAAACAACATAAAAAAGGGAGCGCAACGGCCTTAAGTGCAAAAAGGGTGCGCTACGGCTCACTAATTAGTCGCGAATCACCTCAATGACATTGCGGATCGCATCGGCTACAGACCCCGAAAATTTAAAACACTAATACAAAATACAGCGCGCAAACGACTACGCACATTGGGGGGACTGCGTCGGCTCACTAAAGCAAGAATACACAAGTCAAAGCGCTTCGGCCGCATAACAGATCAAAAGCGTGCGGCTCGCATCGACCTCACAAACGAGATCAAACATCTTCGCTTCATGAAATTATGTCACCACCACGGCCAAAAGTATGTGGGACCTCTTCGGCCCCGACAAATAATGATGAAACAGGCCAGCTCCATAATTCACATCTACTGGAAAGAGAAAGCGCGCCGCATCATCTTCAAAACACTTCACGGAGAGCGCATCGGCCGCACCAAGGCTGTGGGTCCTCAAGCGCGCTACGTCTACATCAAATGAAGAAGCCGCTTCATCCAAAATCAAGGCAGAAACTCTCCGGCCACCAAGCGCCTCGAGCTCTCGCAACGGCCAGCCAGGAAGGAACAAATACTCCCTTTCGCTTCGGCTTCGCCTCAGCTCAGAGAGTGGGGGACTCCTGATAGAGTATATGGGCCCGGCCCCCATGGCCCACATACTCAAGTCAACGACAACCAGAACACCCACGCGGCCCCCTTCGGCCAGTGGGACCGCATCGGCCAGAAACCAAACCGGCCCAAGAACCACGCATGGACTTCCGGGAACGCATCGGCCCATGGACCGCATCGGCCATGGGACCGCATCGGCCAAAAGGCACCGCGTCGGCCCGGCTTCGTACGGGCAGAATGCATCTCTCTACTTTATTTACTAAGTATTGTACACAGCCCATTAGTGGCCCTATTTCGCCCAAAGGAGGCATGATTATTGTAATGGGCCTCCTAAGCCCATGGCTAGGAGCCCAAATCCACATTTTTACCTATAAATAGACCCCTTGGGGCTAGTTATAGGGGGTTGAGAAATATAATTACTCACTTTCTCTCTCTAGCTCTCACTTCTCTTTAGAATTAATACTCTATCAATTGGATTATGGCCAAAGAATATGCAAGATTGCATATTTGTAATATATAGACATACGATCCCTGACATTTATAGTTTTATACTCGGTAATATGTTATATATAATATACGTAGTATTATTATATTATAACACTAATTTTCGGGACATATGGTCACTAACATTTATACTCGGTAATATATTATGTATAATATACTATTATAATCTAACACTAGTTGTCGGGACAATTTGGGACGGTATGGGACGGTTCGGGACAATACGGTTCCGGGACGGTTCCGGGACGGTTCTCACTAAGAACCAGTACCGTACGGTCCGTACCATATTATTAAAAAAGCTCGGTACGGTACGGTTTTACATTTTTCCGGTTCTATCGGTTCTGGAGCGGTTCAGGGCGGTTCTTCAGTACGGAACGAGAATTCCCAGATCCGTGCTCAGCCCTAGTCTTGGGTAGGGTTATGTATGCACTGTCGGACAAGATGCAGTGACTTCTACCCGGGATCTGAATAAATTCAGTCCTAAACCTATGGGGATTGTCCAGAATATTTGAGTGACTGGGAGTAAATGTTCAATTGATAGCAGGCAGTTGAGGTAGCAGACTTATCATTGATTATTGTTCTCTTGCTCGATTGAGCCTACTGCTTCCTAACGCTCATAGAGTTCACTCACTCATTCATTCACTCGCTTACTCTTGGCTTTGTCCCTCGGGTAGCTAGGCTTAGTTGGGTTTACTAAGCCATCAGGACTTCTCTCTCATTTCTCTCTCATTCCTTTGTTTTATTTTCTCTCTGTGCTCCCCCTCAACTGAAGCACTCGGTATGCTTTGTGATCATTTGGCACTGGGGAGGATAAAATTGAAAACTCCCCCTCAAGTGTTGCATCCTTTAAGAGAATCTTTGCTTTGTCGTTGTATGGCGACATGAGGAGAAACCTGAAACTCCCCCTCAGATTGTGCAAGGGTTGATTGCTCACAACTTGTTATACCTGCCATGTGTATGGAGCAATCTGAACAGGTACCACACATGACAGTTTCCCTGAGCTCATCATCTAGAATTTCAGCATATTGATGATCGAATATTTTTTGATGAGTTAGGGGAGGCATCAGTAGTTGATTGTTGTGAAATGATTTTTGACACGAGGTTGATTGAATTATCTACGAGTTCCGAACCTTACGGTGTATATTAGACCAACTTTGACAATTGGTTTGACTTTGGTTTGACTTTGGAAGAATTGATCAGATTTGCCTCAGCTTTGACCTTGACTTTGGTGATTTTTCAGAAAACAGATGTTATCTTCCTCAAAACCAGAGAATGAGGGAGCGTGGGAAAGGGCTCTGGGGTACCCCCAAGAATTCATGTGGATCTTTTCATGAGCTTTCCGAAAAGGTATTATACGCGTAAATCAGATCACCGAGTCAAAAGTTATGGCCAAAACAGTGTAGAACATCGAAAAGTTTGAATTTTTAACTTTGAAAAGCTTTTCGAAGTTGAGGTTCTCGATGTTGGACCTTGAAAACCTGTTCTCGATGTTTAACCTCGAAAACCTGTTCTCGATGTTGAATATCGAATTCATCTTCTCGATAATTGAGTATCGAAAACATCTTCTCGATGTTGAGTATCGAAAACATCTTCTCGGTATTGAATATCGAAAACGTATTCTCGATGATGAATATCGAAAACTTCTTCTCGATGATTGAATATCGAAAACGTCTTCTCGATGAATGAATATCGAAAACTTTTTCTCGATGTTTGAATATCGAAAACTTTTTCTCGATATTGAATATCAAAAAGTTCTTTTTCAATATTTGAATGTCGAGAAACATGTTTTCGAAATTCAAGCTGCGAGAAACATGTTTTCGAAGTTCAATCTGTGAGAAACGTGTTTTCGAAGTACATCCGCGAGAAACCTGTTTCGAGTTCAAATATCGAGAACCGGTTTTCGAACATCAGCTGCGAGAAACCTGTTTTCGACCTGCAATCTGCGAGAAACATGATATCAAAGATTAACATCGAAAAACTCAAGACTTCGAAAATTTTAGAGTTTCGTACCAGTTTAGAACATCGAAAACTTTGCCTTTTCAAAAACCTCAGAACATCGAAAACTTCCTTTGAAAAACTTCAGAATTTCGAAAACTTATTTAAACATTGAAACGTTGTAAGCATCGAAAAATGCTGTTTAAGTTTCGAAAACTGCGAAAAGTATCAAGCTTCGAAAAATCCTGAGTTTTGAGAAAAGCCAAAGTTCGAAATATACTAAACATCGAGAAACTCCAAGACGTCGAAGCCTTTGAATATCGAAAAGCTTTAAAAATAACAAAACATCGAAAAATCCATTTTCAAAGAATCTTCAGAAACAGAAATTGAGGAAGTTTTCAAACAGAGTTTGACCCTAATCTTCCAGAAATCAAAGAAAATCGTTGAAAACAGATCAGCCAAACCAAAAATCTTGAAAAATCAGTTTTTCAAAATGGGTGGTTTTTCTCGAGAAATCAGTTTTGCAGATCCGAAAAACGCAGATGAATCCAATCTATTTCACGCCTCGGCTCTGATACCACATGTTAGTCCCTATTTCTAACAACCAAACAATCATAGAAATGAAAGATGAAGCAGATCGAGAAAAAGTATTTATAGAGAATTTATTGAATATCGAGAAAAAGTTCTTTTTCGAGAATTTTGGTACATCGTATAAATATAACCAAACATTCATATCAATATATCGAGAACTTTGGTACATCGTATGAAATGGCCGCTGCTCACCCTCTAGAGAGAGAGCAGCCTGAAACTATTATATTCTATTCTGCCTCTATGCTCTATGCCTTCGCTAGGTTTTCCTCATAAGTTAGCCTCCTTTTATAAGAGAGGATGACTAACTTATGGCTTACAAGAGAGGCTAATGGGCTAATATTTAATTGTGGCCCATATTACACATTTAACTAACAACTACACAAATACAAAGACATATAACTAGATTGGACACCAGAAAAAGTCCTAACAGACCCCCACAATTTTTTTATCTAAATTTTGGTGCATACGCTATTCACATATTCAAATATTCACATAAATGTTAAAATATGCCAAAATTCAGAACAAATTTTGTTCTCAATAAAAGTCCAGAATTTCTATTCCATGTAAACATACATATTTTAGATATTTGAAAATTAGTGATAATTAGTATGACCATCAAAATGTTACAGGCATATTCAACAGTAGCACAACCATGCGTTCGCAAAATAATACGGCTTTTAGTTTTAACAATCACAATTAATAATAGGGAAATTTAATAAGATATGACTAAAACTCAATGAGTTTATCAATATATGACCTAACTAGTTTTTATACCTTTGTATGATCGAAAATCCAAAAAAAAGAAAAAGAAAATTCGTTTATATTTAAATTTAAATGACAAAAATACCCTTATTTAAAATATGTGCATTTTGCACTGGTTTCGTGCAATTAAAATTATTGCACTTTATATTGCAGTTACTGCACAACATTACTGCACTACATCAATGCACATCCGGTATAATCACTGCATTTGCGCAAAAAATAATTCTCTTCTCATTCATTTTAAGAATTTATTTATAGTTCTTATTTTTTATATTTAATAATTTTATGTTTAATTAAGTATATTGCATTTTATGGTTGCATGACTGTTATGCGTTACTGCACTACTGCTCATAATCAGTGCATAACAAATTTTTTTAATGCATTCTTTCAATGCCCTGGACAACATATATGTTGACATACTCATCAATCATGTTCTTCACTATCTATTCCCGTGTTCACTGTCCAATCTCAATGCTCATATTCACTTCTCATGTTCAATGCTCTTACCCTAAACTAAAAAAATGTAAAAGGAAGAATGTGTGTGTGTAATTCCAAATCTAGAGCCGCAATAAAGCAAATCTCACCCATGATTCAAAGGGTTCCATATCTGCACTAGCAGGCCTCACATCTATGGAAGGAATGAAGCCAATCTCATCATGGGGCTCCAGAATCCAGATCGGCGCTCCCAGGCCAACGTCTGTGAAGGGATTGAAGCGAATCTCATCCATGGGCTCTAGATTAGCGCTCCCATGTCTGGCATTTGTGGAAGGAAGGCAGTGAATCTCACCCATGGAGCTCCAGATCGGCACTCCCAGGCCGGACATCTGTGGAGGCAGCGCGACTAGACTTGGACAGAGGTTGTCGGGCGAGCGAAGGCCGTCGACGATGCCATGACACCCGGATCGGACCGACGGCTTCTCAGCTTTTGGGTTGGCGACTTTAACCCGGCGGAGGCGTGGCTGTACGTATGGAGAGCGGCGGTATGGCTATATTAGGCGGCGGCGGCGGCGACGTACATCAGGTGGCGGCGGCGACGTACATCGGGCAGCGGCGGCGCTGTGCGGCATGTGTGGGCATCTACGCAGGGACATGGCTACAGGGTTTTGGGTTAAAAGCAAAATGAAATTAGGATTTTATAATAATTGTCTAAGGCCATATTAGTCATAATAAATAATTTATTTAATAATTTATTAATATAATAATTAATTATTACTAATTTTAAATATATTTTTAGAAAAAAACTCATTAAGTTATAGATTGGGAAAGTGGTCAAGTTTTAGTAATATGTGGGGTAATTATTATTATTTTTTACTCCAGGGGGTCTTGGGGTAGGGGGGCTTGGGGGAGCCTGGAGTAATCAGGGCTGAAACTTACTCCATTTAGTTTCAAACCCATGTGTGCCTAACGGGTTTCGAACTCGAGACCTCCACTAGGCACGGTAACCTCACAACCAGCTGGACTAGAATGCTCTTATAATAGAATTCTCTTAATAATAGCTGGACTAGAATGCTCTTATTATTAATTATCTCTTAATAATAATCACAACTAAAATCAACCACTATCTTTCCAAAATCAATGTGTTGACCGTGTTGCTACTAAGTTGACCTCGTTGACCATCTAGCTCCGGGAAATGATTTGCAAGATAATCACTAAAAAGAACTAAAAGTATATTAGTGGCTCGAGATGCGTCAGACACTGTCTTAAGGAATTATTTCCGGCGTACGAAAATTTCCCCCAAGATATAACGAGCTCTTCGGTTATAAAACCGATACCAGAACTAACAAGGAGAAAACAATATATGAACCCAATAATAAAAGTGTATTGTTCATTTGCCCGTATACTTGTATTAGTTGTATACATTCATCACCGTATACTTTATCATCGATAGAAGAATCTATAGAAGAAGTAAAGCATATACACATATTAATCTATGAAGAGTAATGTATTCATTTTCTCAAGATTTGAGTATGATTGTTCCCCTTTTTAAAATCCCACTTCCGTTGTGCAGTAGGCATGGAGTATATATAATTGATACTATTATATAACGTTCAAATATTAAATAATATATTAATTAAATATAATTGATAATATTAAATATTTAAATGATTCCTCATGTAGCCAAGCGGCCCAAGCTAATTGCAAACGTACATTTAGGAAACTTCCTAAATTACTAGTAAATTGATCGCGCGTTGCGCTAATGTCGGGTTTAATGCACCAAACCCCCCTTGTGATTTGGAAATTCGGCGCATTAGCCCCCTGTGATTTAAAAAATGCATCAAACCCCCTTGTGTTTTAATTAATCATGCACAGAACCCCCTTTATGAATAAATTTAATGATTTGAAAATCACTTTTCCTAATATTTTGATTGAATATGCAAATAAATATGGCAAAATTTCTGAATCATACAAAAATGTCAATCATTTTTCTTTTATTTGACAATTGAATTTGTTCACATAAAGGATTTGGCGCATGATTAATTAAAACACAAGGGGGTTTGATGCATTTTTTAAATCACAGGGGGCTAATGCACCAAATTTCCAAATCACATGGGGGTTTGGTGCATTAAACCCCGCTAATGTCATATGCCCAACACTCATGTTTTATGAATTTTTGAAATATATTTTCAACATAATGTTTATTTTAGGAGTTATACTATATACGATACTGATTTCATAAAAATTAGATTAAGTTGAATTAGTTGGTGTTACAATAAAATACTATGAGCAATGATTAAGTAAATTGAACATGAGAATAATAGAGGTAGTGAACGGAATATGGCGGCAAAGTGAAAATTAATATGATATCAAAAACCAAAAGATAAAATAGTGCAATTAAATTCGAGAACATGCATGCAAGAGGATCTAACTAACAATATCAATCAAGTAATCTACTTTATTATATTTAAAATATATCATACGGAGTATGTAACCTGTGAATTAAGGGTTTGAAGTACTTTCTATAATACTGGAGTATCAAACATTAGAAGGTGTTGAG